ATGCTCACATTTAGTTTCTTACTCTACCGTCCGTAAAACAAAATTGCTTCCAACATAGTATCTATATATCACGTGAAACACTCCCCAAACGAGAGGATTTGTGTAACATCCCAATTTAAATTTTAATAGTTAATTTGGGTTAATAAAAATTTTGAAAAGTATTATTAATTATTATTATAAAAAAAAAGGTATGAAAAAAAAATAAATAAAAATAAAAAAAAATAAATAAAAATAAAAAAAATAATAATAATAAATAAAAAAAATAAAATATTATTAAATTATTTTATTATAATAATAAAAAGAAAGAAAGGAAAAGAAAGGAAGAAGAAGAAGAAAACGAATTTGCTTCGTCCGCCGCCTCAACAGTAACAATAATAAAATATAAAATAAAAAGAAAAGAAGAGAGAGAGAGAGAAAGTAATTAAAAAAAATGTGGGACCCACTGAATTTTATAAAAACTCACCTGTTCCTTCATTTCTTCATTCCTTCTTTCGTGCGTGAGCTTCGGAGAGAGAGAGCATCTGTGAGCCAAATTCACCGGTGCTGGGTTTTAAGGTAAGAGTTTTTAATAGGATATTTAGTGGTTTTGATTTTAAGCTTTTCAAGACTAAGTAAGTATTCTAAAAATTTTTCTTAGTCATCCTTCTTCTTTGGTTTCTGAGTTTGTAGTGGTAGAAAATTTAACATCTGGAAGAGGGATGAATTTATGTTGAATAAATATGGTTTTTGAGGTTGTCAGTAGTATAATGAATGTTATAGAGTATAAATTTGTTAATGATCTTTGAATTTATGGCTTATGGATAAAATTCTAGACTAGATCTGAAAATATATGTTGATTTATTGAGTTTAGATGATTATTTGGGATGATGAGAAATGATTATTATGGCTATAGGATTATGATTCTAAGCTAGAGACTTAATTTTTAATTTTTGAGTATTTTAGGTGCGAATTTATAAAATAAAAAGAAAATATTGATAATTAAAAGAGGAGTTAAAAATTATACTTAATAGTATTAACTATAGATTTGTATTAAGATTGAGATTAGGAATTATGTTATATTTTTATTCTATTATTAGAATTATTTTATTAGTTTCAAAAATTGAAACTAATATTTATAAATAATATGTTATTTTGTAGATTGTATTACTGGTGAAGATTGTGGTGAGAGAGAAATTTTTAAGGAATAATTTATTGAAAAAGCCACAAGGTAACCATGCTTTTAATTTGTGATTAGTGTTACTTCTTGTTAATTGGGTGATTATTGAGAAAATTATGAATTTTGTAATATTGTATAATTGTGCAATATTATTATGAATTTGTTTAATATTGTGGGAGGTGTTGGGAGACTTGCTATTGTGTTTTGTATTTATGTGCCACGTGGTACGCCCCTATTGGAGCTCAATAGGTGGTTTGTAAGGGCTCGGGCTAATCTACCTTTAGCCGGATAATTTAGTACCGAGTGAGGGCTACGGCTCGAGGTTAATGGAGGGATATAAGGATGGTTGTTTGTGTTTATTATAATATTTCTTATATTTGTTAGAATTATATTATTTTTAATTCTCACTTAGTAAGCACAACTTAACTGTTTGTATACACTATCATTAAATTGGCTTTGGTTACTGGGACTTTTGAGTCTCATATGTGGTTAACAATTTTCAGGAGAAGAGCCAAGAGTGACACGTGGAGGAGTCCCAGAGGCTTAGTGGTATAGATCCACTGTCTCTTTTGGGTATTTAATTTATGATTTATAATGTGTTATATGCCAATATTAGGACTTTTTTATGTTTATTGTCATTATATGAATATATAAATGTAATCATGCCTTTCAAACTATTTCTATTTTTGGTACAATTTGGATGACTGTAATTTAATATTTGGTTTACTTTGGATTGGTTTTTAAATGGCATGATTATAGGCCAAATAACTGGCTTGTGTTGAAATTGACTAAATTGCTTATTTTACTTGTTGGGAGTATAAGGATGGACAAATGTGATTTAGTTTACTTGTTGGGAGTATAAGGATGGACAAATGTGATTTAGCCTAATGGCATGTGGGAGGTAAAAATTTATCTGAAATGTTATAGTGTGTAAGTTGAAGCCAATTATAAAATATTTTATATTGAAATTATTGATATAAAAATGTGTTGGGTGTCTGTAACCCAACTATGGTTGAGTTAATTATTTAAAAAAAAAATTTGGTGTGTTACAATTTGAAACTCTCCCAGATCAACCAACAAACGAGGATTCCAATTTTTCGATGACTGTTAATGTTAATGACGTAAGCAATGCTTTTTTCACATCATTTAAACGCCACGTTTGATTCGAGTTCACAAACGTTGGCCCTCGGCCAACTCGTGGGGAATAAAACTGGGGCAAGGCTTGATCTACTTTTTGTGACCAATGGAAGTGAGAAAATGATACTTTTAAAAAATACTACTAAAGAACATCTCTAAAAAATTTTGTAATAGGTTATAACAAAAATTAATATATTTAATTAAAATACTCTCATTTATTAATTTTTTTACAACTCATCCTCATGGATAATTTTACTGGAGGATTTCTTATTTTCTGCTAACTTGATTTCTTTTCAATATATAGATTAAAAAAAAGAAATCCATTATTTTCTTATCTAAAATAGTAAAAATATGATTAATAGAATCTGATAAGAAAATCTTAAACCAACACAGAAATTTCAGTTTCTTCTAACTATCTTAAATTCGTCAAAGCTCATTATTTTTTCTTTTTTATCATGATTGGCTTTTTTCTCAAAGTTGCATTGAGATTTTGTACTATTAGCAGCTGTAAAATCTAAACCAATATGATTGATTTTCTTAACTCTATAGTTTCCTTTTTTTTTTTTGCTGTTTTCTTTTGAATTGATTGTTAAACATTTAGGCAACTCTATTTTTTTTTTAATTCATGTGTATCAGATGAGGATGATGACATATTCAATGAATCCATATTTAAATACATTGTGGATTGCAGCAATAAGTTTAAGATATTGCTAAAGAAAAGGAACAAGGTGAGGAGGAGGATGCAGATATATTGGTGAAGATAAAACAAAGGACTTCATTACCCGTAAGAAAGGCAGAAGTATTGTTTTGTCCAAAAAAAAAATGCTAATGAGATATTTTCTAGCTAAATTTTACTTATTCGTTGCTATAGATGATTTATTATTACATAATTCACGTAATGGCTATATATTATTACATATTTTATCATATTTTATAGGCGAATCTGAGGAGAAAGAAAATTAGGAAGATGCAAGGAGTACTTTTGCTTTTGTAAGACATATTCATGCATTGCTACAATCTCGATAGCAAAGTCCGTAACTACATGAATATAAATAGAATCCAGACTTGAAGATATTCGAGCCTGTTCTTTCCCACAAATATATGATAAAGTGATGATTGAGTTGGAGGAGCCTGATATGATAGGAAGAATGTTATATGTAGTAGGTATTATGAGATCACTAGTGAAAACATTAAAAAATAAGCAAACATCTTATGATTTATCTCATAGGACTGAACTAATGATATTATCGAAATTGCTAGACTCTTTATTATAAGAAATTGGATTATTCCTCTTAATTTTTTATCAGAGAAACAATTATCTCATAGGATTAGGGGTGATTTTTGTACTTATAATCATCCCCTACCTCTGTCAAAAGGTGGTAAATGATGATAGGATGGCTGCTCTTTGTACTCATTAAAAAAAAAAAATTGAAACGGCTTAATGTTTTTCAGTTTCCAATCACATGTTATGAAGTAACTAAATGTATTTAACTATAATGGAATACAAATAATATATGTTGCGATTATAGGCGCCAAATATGTGAACTATCCGTCCTAAATCTATCATTATAATTATCCCGGGATGCTCTACACTTAAAAGTTAAAACTAGTTACATTTAAATAATGTTGGTTTTATTTTGAAAGCTAATATAAAATAAAATGTGAAGCAATTTCCTTTTTTAATTTCGGGAAAAGAAGCCTCGTTCGTGTGACGGAGACACCGTGTCGCCATTCGTTGGGACAATTTATTACAAGGCGGGGAGTGAAAAAGCCCAGATCCGCAATAACGAATGCGTCAATCTTGACCGTTTATTTTGCCTCTCCTGAAAATCGAAAGGTGACGATTCCAGGAAATTGCTTACATCCCCGCGACGAAACTAACAACGTGCGGGGTTTCCTTCCTCTTTCTGTTATTCTTCCCGCAAATCGGATTTTCCTTTGTCGCGAAGTCGACTCTCTTTCTCTTGATTGTTTTCCCTACCTGCAATTCCGCCGATGCAAGAAACAGAACTTCACGATTTGTCCGACGACGCCGATTACGCTGCGTCGCAGCAACAGGTAACACCGTTGCCAATTTAGTTCCGAATGTGTCGCTTTCTTCCATGGAATTGGATTCGGTTAGGTTTAGGTGATTCGTTTGAATCTGTTCGAATCTACGCTTTTTTTTTTAAGGGATTATCACAAATTTAACTGGGTCAAGGAATTTTGTCGGTTTTATTGATTTGGATTAGGCATCATCCAGCATATTGCTGCGGAGCGACAGTAGTAAACAGAGCTCAAATAGTGAGCCAGACAGCGCCCAGCTAGTTTTTACGAAGGACAATGTCGCAATTCATCCGACTCAATTTGCTTCCGAAAGGATTAGTGGAAGACTGAAGTTGATTAAGCAAGGCTCTTCTCTGTTTATGGTATCCATTGATTGTTTTATTTATTTTTTTTTTTCCTTTTGGGGGAATGCAGTGTTTTTTTATGGAAATATCCATCTTCTCTTCGTTGTAGTCATGGATACCTTATACAGCGAACAATTCGAATGCCATGCTGTCTGAGAAAGGTAGTTCGCATTCGGACTTTGATATTTTGCCTGTATAGCTATCGTTCCATATATGCTGAAATTTATTCCTTTCTTATGTAGACAGAAACCTTTACACCATAAGGGCGGTGCCCTTTACTGACATCAGGTCCATTCGAAGACATACTCCTCCACTTGGGTGGCAATACATCATTGCTGTTTTGTCATCAGGTAAAGTAGAGCGTATGAACTACACAGATTTTATCATCTTTTTTTCGTATCCTTTCCCTGCGATCACTGTTTCATTCTCAAGTGTTGCGTATCATATTGACACTCGTCCATGGACGCTGTACCGTGGGATCGTTATCCATCCAGTTTGGATTTTAACACTCTGATAGTACATAAATGTTTTATTACAAAGATGTGGAGTTAATTATCTTATTCCAGCCATAATGGGGAGAAAATACACGGATTTATCTTTTTTCTTAATTGTAATAGATGCGATCACTTTGTTGGTGAAGGCATCTAATGTGGCAGGTTACAATTTCTCGCATTCAATGTGCAAGTTAGCAGAAACTAGAAAAGCAACCATTCTCTAAATAAATGAATCCATCATGGATGGCCTGTTCATTGACTCTGAATTTTATAAAATTAATGACATGGGTGTAATGAAGTACTTTTTTATTTTTTTTCCAAGATAAAGACTAGGTACTTTTTAATAAAACAATATAATTTTTTTATTTATTCTTATATTCAACTTTAGTAATGCTTAATTTATAACAATTGAAGTGTGTTGACTTAATTTGGTACTTTTACCAAGCTCTGCCATTTAAGACTTTCCTTTGTCTTTTCACATATATCATTGAATTTTAAAATGGTTCTGAAATATTTCTTCCTTTGTTGATGATAGATGAAATATCTAGCCAGTTTTTTCAAAGGGAACAGTGTCACAGTCGATCGGTCATGCATGCATGGTACAGATACATATTTTTTGCATTTCCACAAGAATATGGAAATAAATTTGCCACATCTATGCTTCCTGGATCTACAAGTACTTCATTTTTCATTAGTAATGATTTTTATTTTGCCAAGATCAGAAAATCTTCAACCAAATATTGTTCTCACATTAAGCATTCATATTTCCCTTTTCCTTTAATGATCTTATGATAAAATTTTATTGACCAAAAACATTTAGTTTTATTTTCAAATTGCCTGTTTACTCTTTGCATTTACCTTCAACTGTGCAAAATTGTTGGTTACCTATATACTTTCTCTCTTGAAGTCTCATTTGGCTCAGGCATGATTTTTTTCAGATATGCTTGTTATTCTAGTCGTATTTTTAACCAATATTTATCTGATCAGCAAGATCTTTGCGTCTGGCTGGCACTATTATTTTGTATGACTCAGTCTGTATCATGTTTTGTACTTTTTTTTTCCTTTTTTTTTGGGGGGGGGTGCATGCTTTGCAGGACTTGCATACCCACCTCTGTACTTTTACAATGGAGGAGTCAGAGAATTTCTTGCTACAATAAAGCAACATGTTCTTCTTGTAAGGTTAGTTTCTGGATTTGTGTCTTAAATTTTCTTTTCTTCTAACTCGCTTATTGATGATGCAATTACTGGTCTCTTCATGATATATTTGAAAATTTCAAATGTACCTTTTAATTGAGAAAGGATGAACTTCATGAGGTTTATCCCCAAGGCCTTTTGAATTCAATTATTTGAAGCCTATTACTTGTTCTTATCTAATCAACGAACACTTGTAGTTATTTTCTGTTTCTGGGTAGCATTTTTCTCAGCTAATGGTTTGTAGAGTGTTTATCTTGGTTTCATGATTAAAAGGGCAGATATGCTGAATATGTGTAGAGAACTTGTTCCTATAGTCCATATGGCAATTTAGTGATTTAATGCGAAACATTGTTTTAAATAATGTAATTTTATTGACTAAATTGCCATGTAGGCTATAGAAACAATGCATAGAGAACTCGTTCCTATAACCAATTAACCTTTCACATTGAGTTCTTTCTTTTAATTGACATCTATGATTCTTAAATATTGATTTGAAAAATGTTTTAAATCCCTTACAAAGTCTCTTGCAGGCTAAATTTGTAGCTGAATACTTGAGCTATTTTATGATTATTGTTTATGCAAATCAAACATTTTAAAAGTGTTTGGCTGTGAGGCATATGGGCATGATGCTATTTTATCAGTAAAAAAATTAATGCAATTTATATGCTTCTAAATTCATTTCCTTTTTGTTGTCATTAATGGCTAAGAGGTCCAAAAAAATGTAGCTAAATAATATTTTAAAAATGTTTCAATTTTGATATAGTTTGAGTGCCATTTTCAGGCAGATATATTTTCAACCTCCTTTTTTCTTGTTATGCTATATTTTCCAGATCTGCAGAAGACACGAATGTGTTCATTGTGAATGATTTAAAGAATCCTCTGCAGGTATGTGGGATGCGTGCAAAGTTGTTTGATTGGTTTTAGCAACTTGGTTGTTTATGTAGAGTGTCCCTAGCAATATTATTGTTGTTATATGCAGGAAAGTACACATAACTAGTGAGTCTCATAATTATGAGTTAATATCCCTATTTTATTCTGATTATCAGAATATTTGATGGATAGCTCATAAAAATGTCATCCTCTTGAAATTTTTAAACTTATAAAAGCTCACATGCAGTTATGCTTTTGCTCTGCTCTTTTAGTCTGTGATTAGTGCGCTAGTCTGCTTTCAAAAGGAAGATGTAGGCAGAAAGTTTAGAAGAAATTAAGAGCTTACATTTGGTATTTATCTTTAGGTCTCTAAAATGTTTTGTGATATATATGTATATATATATTTGATTTTCGCGCCCCTTTTATTTTGGCTTTCTTATTTTTCTATTTCTTGGATTGACTTCCAGAGGACATTGTCGTCATTGGAGATGCCCAGGGCTGTTTCTATTGCTTGTGAACCTTCAAATATATCAGCTAATGAGTCAACTTTGAATGAGAACCAAGAGAGGATTGATAGCGGTGCCAGTGATGGACATGCTGCTGTTTCTCAATATCATGGAAGATCAAGACATAGAGTTAATGATCCTGCCAGAGATATTTCTATTCAAGTTTTGGAGAAGTTCTCTCTTGTGACCAAATTTGCCCGTGAGACAACTTCACAACTCTTCAGTGATCAGAGTAATGGATTTGGTGCCATTGAGAGAAGTTTTGATGAGACTCCTTTTGATCATCACAACAAGTCTTCCAGTATAGGAGAAAAAATTCCTGATGAAAGTCCTGTTCCCTCAGATCCTCTGGAGGTAACCCTCCCTTCTGTGGGTGCTATTGCTACTATATTAAATGTTAACCACTCCCAATGGTTATCCACCACATATTCTGTCTGAGCTGGTTACCTTGTTTGGTACATTTTATGGGCTGGAAGGAATTTAGTAGTAAGCTTTTATTCTCCTTTCTGATTGTGAGTTACCTTGTGCTTGCAAGTAACACTTGCTATGCTGTGTTGCCAGACATACTTCAGAGTCTATAATTTAGAATAAGTGTATTTTTCATCCCGCCAAAATTTAAAATTTATCAACACAATAGCATTTGGAGGTATAAAAGGTGTGCAGATCTATCACTCTCCCATGTGAAAAAAATGTGCATGTAATAATTCTATCTGAATGTAAGGTGACAGGGATGCTATGGAAAAATGTTCCTACTATGTTAATTTCTTGTCCATGTGGTGCTTTTGTGGCTCCTCCCAATCTGTAAGATCAGATACTACTCATGATTTATTTTGGTTGTTGGGGGCGTTGCTTTGATGGTTTCATTTTGAGCATGCATACCAAGAGACTTATTTTACTATACATCTCATGTTTTTATACTTCAACAGGTGAATTTTGTTTTCCCCATTTTTCTTCCTCTTTACACCTAGCAATATCAATATCATTTTTTTGTTTCCCTCTACATGTAGTTTGATAAATTATCACAAGTATGGGGAAAACCACGGCAACTGCCTTTAGGTTATGATGAGGTGAGTTTTGATTTTCACTTTTTCTGTAATGTTTTTTTTTTTTCCTGTTGTTAATGCTTCTGTCAAGTTTAAGCAATGAATTTGTTGTGCAAATGCTCTCTGATCATGATCATCAATGTGTTTATACAATTCTTCTGTTTTTTATATGGATGAAATTATATGTAATAAAAAGCAATAAAGTGAAAAGTATTTATCAAGATACCATAATAGACTGGCTTGCTGAGAAATTTGGAGTCTGTGATTCCACATTCATGGATTTAGTCTAAGTTTTCATGCCCTAGTATTTCATGCAACTCGAGTCTTGGGGCCTATGGTTCCAAGCTCTTCCGACTTAGAGCCATAGGTTCTAAAATTGTGTCAACGTACTCTGGATCTTATTTATTTAGGTTTTTTAATTCTGCTAAAGCATTACAATCCAAAATAAGAGCATTCTAAAGTGGCAAAATGTTGCTTGTTGAACTGCTTGTGGCGGGTCTCATTTTTGCAGTGGGTTGGGTTCTTGGATTCTGAAGGGCGAGTAACAGATTCAGAAGCTTTAAGAAGGAGAATATTTTATGGAGGACTTGACCATGAGTTGCGGAATGAGGTCTGTGTTTAATAATATTTGTGATGATGTCCATCAGAGTAAATTTTTTGAAATTGGTCTCGCTCTTCCCTTACAAATCCTTATAAGAACGATAGGTTTGGGGATTTCTGTTGGGGTACTATTCATATGATTCAACATATGCTGAGAGGGAATATCTGAAGTCAGTCAAGAAGTCGGAGTACGAGACTATAAAGAGCCAGTGGCAGGTTTCCTCTTCTCCATGCCTTTTATATGCATCATTTTTAATATCTTACTGGGAATTAATAATAATTTGTTTATGCTCTTTTCTCTGTAGAGTATCCTCCCAGCACAGGCTAGAAGATTCACAAAATTCAGAGAGAGGAAAGGCCTAATTGACAAAGATGTGGTATGCTGGAAGCTAGTTCAGATGTTTATGAATTATCAAAAAGATTACATAACAGCAGTTGGATGGTGCACATGTAGTTTAACTGTCTTTTATTTTTGAAGGTGAGGACTGACAGAATTCTTGCTTTCTATGATGGGGATGATAATCCAAATGTGAATGTTCTACGGGATATCCTGTTGACTTATTCATTCTACAACTTTGACCTCGGTTATTGTCAGGTACTTATCAATGTGATGCATTGAACACCAGAATTTTGCTTCATGTTTTTTCCTTCAAAATGTTGGGATCTAAGAATCAATGACGGCTTCTCTTATCTATTCCTGTGCTTGGTTATCCTGGATGTTAAATAATTGATTAAGCAAAGAATTGTTCTCTGCAGCCAGGGTAGGAATATGTTAATAGCTAACATCTTTCTGCACCAAAGTAATTTATGGTACCACAAATCAAGAGTTGAGGTCCCTCATTTTTCCAACTTCCCATTACCATCCCTCCCCAATCTGACCCTGAAATTGGGGGGAAAAGGAAAGGTTAATAATTGAGAATTGACATTCCATATGTTTAGGCAATCTTATATTTGTTATCGTACAGGGTATGAGTGATCTTCTTTCCCCGATATATTTTGTAATGGGTGACGAATCAGAGGCATTTTGGTGTTTCGTAGCGCTTATGGAGCGTCTTGGACCCAACTTCAATCGTGATCAAAATGGCATGCATTCTCAACTTTTTGCATTATCTAAGGTTTACTCTCTCTCCCTCTCTCTCTCTCTCTCTACTTTTTGTGTGAGAACTTTCTTTTGATGCAGCAAGATGTTTCCTCTACAGTAGATTTCATGTGCTTATTTATTTGCTTGCCCATCAATTGCATCCCAACAATTGAATTGCAATTGTAGGTACCTCGTTGAGAGAACCATGCATTACCTGAATTAAGAAAAGGAAAGGAACATACAAATATGTTATAAATACAAATATTTCACAAATTGGAAAGCATAACTAGTGGATTTTCTCCCCATGAACTCCTTTCTAAATTTAGATTTCCTCTGATTGTCAAAATTAATGAGACTTTTTTGATGGGATGGCAAAATCATTGCTGGCATGATTGTCTTACAAGTATGGTATCCTTTTATAAACAAAAACACTGCACGTTTTGTTCCATTATCACATCCCTTGTGTCACTGAGGTCTGCTTTGAACCTCAATGTGATGGTGAAACTAATGACTACTATTTCACACTCGACGTCTCTTAAATCTCTGATCATGCATCCCAGAAAATATGAGCCGCATCTCTGATCTAAATATAAATATGCCCTTTTTTTGTTATTATAGAGATGTTATTAATCAAGTTGTTGTTATCCAGTTCAATGTGTTTCACAAACATTAGCATTGAGAGAGAAGTTGATAACTGAAACATAATGTTTCTGCAACTTAATTGTGCACCATTCTTCGAGAACTAAAAGCATAAAATACAAGCTGGAACTGATAATCTATGTCTGCAACTTATTTAGGAGCCTTGCATGTTATAAAGAGTCATCTGGTAAAATGTAAATCAAATCATACAAGAAGCTTTCATCATTGAAGCTGGGACTGATGATCTATGTCTGATAGTTTATCTATTTATCATCCTGTCATCAGTTTTGGACCAACACTGACAAAAGACATTTCTGTTGGGAACCTGTTACTAAGATGTATTCTTGTCAGTTTCCCTTGGCATTTCTGATTAATATTATATTTCTTTTTTGCAGTTGGTAGAGTTACTGGATAGTCCATTGCATAAATATTTTGAGCAGCATGACTGCTTGAATTATTTCTTTTGTTTCCGCTGGGTATTGATTCAATTTAAAAGGTCAGATTCCTTGAATCGCTGTCTTGGATCCGTAATTTCAGGCTATGTCTGAACTTAATAGTGTATTCCTCTAGATTGTTAAATGTATTTTCTTCCTTCTCATTTGCCAATTGAACTTAGTTTGGCAGTTCAGCAATGAGAAGTCTGTTTGACTGTCTTTGATAACAAAATATAGCAAGTAGTATTACATACTCAACTTCCTGCAAACACAACTGCATGTCTGGTCCTCGCTGAATCACTGGCTCCTTTTTGAACTTAATCTCTCGCTCTCTTTCTCCGAAGAGGTGCAATTGATCTTAGACTCAGAGAGTTAGGTTGTTAAGAATGTTATTCGGCAACGTAATACTTTCAAGCGAACATGCTTTACATTTGTGGAGATGATTCAGGAGGATATTTGCTTGCTGGATGATTTATAAATATTTTCCTAAAAGGGTCTTTAGTCTTGAGACATGTTCCTGAAAGGATCAAAGTCTTTTACACATTTCAACTAAATGGTTAATTTCTATAATACTTCCAATGTGGATTCCAATTGATGATGCGCTTGATTTCAGTGAAGTTATTGGATTTCTAGATTTACCAGTCCGACAGATTTAGCCTTGCATCGGTTCTCGCAGCGATGATTCGTTGCTGAATGAAACCTTAACTGACAAATATTTCACTTGACATTTCAGGGAGCTTGAGTTCGAGAGTACAATGCGTTTATGGGAGGTATTATGGACACATTATCCATGTGAGCATCTGCACCTGTATATGTGTGTGGCAATCCTGAAACGATACCGCAGTAAAATAATGGGGGAGAAGATGGATTTTGACACGCTTTTGAAGTTTATAAATGAGCTGAGTGGTCAGATTGACATTGATTCAAACATCATGGATGCAGAGGCTCTTTGTGTATGGGCTGGGGAAGATGGCGCCGCTCGAATACCTCCTGGAACCCCACCTTCGTTGCCTATAGACGATGTTTCATTGTACTCTCAACTAGAAGATGAAGTGCCATAGAGGATGATTATTCCCGTATCGTTCTTTTGTTAAACACAGTTTATATTTTTTATTTTTTGGTCAAGAGATTATGTTAGCTAATCAATTGCATTTGGCAATGACATGACATCGGTGTGTGGCAGGCATCATTTTACGTGTATTTTTCGGTATTAGTGTCTATTTGTTAGTTGACTGTCAGGTGTAAATACTTTACGAGCTAATTTATTGATCCATTTTCCATCCAAAAAGAAGTAATTGTACATGCGGGGATCAAATTATAACGTTACATCGGATGATAAATAATTAATTAGTTACTATTTGTTTGGCTTATGGGTGGAAATTTTAACTGGGGGGTTGAAATTAGGGAGAATTTTATTTAAGAATTAGGAATGTGACCTATTTATAAATTATACTTACTAAAATTTGAAACCACACTGTAGGATTAAAGCACTTTGTTGAACTTTTTTTTTTTTCAGAAAATGACCAAAATATTTTTCTTTTTTTTATACAGTATTAACAAGTCATTAAGTTAAGTTATAAAACTAACAAGTGTTGTTATGAAATTAATAAATAAAATTACGTGATTAACAAGTAATGCAATTTAATTGAAAGAGTATATATAGCATCATCTCTATTAAGAGTAAATAAATTATGTGACAAATATATTTTTAAGAATTGAAGTAATTATACTATATATGTATAAAAGATTATATATATATATATATATAATTGAAATGAAAACATTATCTAGTTTATCCGAAACACTGTAATGTATTAATTTAACCCTTTCCTATATGAATCTCATCATTTTCAACTAAATTGATAATTTGAAATGCAAAAATATCTTATAATTCATTATCATGTTTGCAAGAAGAACATATAACATTAATAATCATATTCAAGTTTTAAAAGAATGAATATATATCAACTGCTTCTTTACCTATATCAACAAGAGTTATTTATAATTGTTGAGCAAAAAGTGTGTATTATATGACTCTTATATTTTATTTAGAAAAAAATTAAAAAAATTGGTGGGCATACCCCGAGTCCCCTTTCCCCACCACTGTAGAAAAACTAGATCGTTTGAACATTGTAGCAATAAATGAGGATAGTGATGTTGGCTTGATACCTTTAGAGTGGATGGAGAAAGCCAATATAAATGGAATTGATTTCTCTCCATTATTATTATTATTATTTTGCTCCATTACTCTTCACTATAAATTTAAACTGTTTAAATTATACATTCAAAAATTATCAAATCTAATTTAATGGTCAAGATTTAGAACGATCCTTTCTCTACAAAAGGGGAAAGCCAACTGCGAGAGAAATTGGCCGGAAGCACCAAGCTATAAGCACATATCCATACTTGGTGCTCATGACAAAATATTAATTATTTTTATATTTTTAATAAATTTTTATTTAAATAGATACAAAATTAAAAGGAGAGATAATTTTTTAACTATCCCTCTATCAATAGATAAATAAAAAAATAAAAAATATAAATGAAAATCTTGCTCCCCCACAATCAAGAGTGCAAAGGAACAAGTTGGCATCAACCAAAAAAGAGAGAACCAAAAAGCAAAACCATTTTTCACGTGATTGATTATAACGAGCCACCCAGTCAATTATTCTCCTTGCTTGTGGAGCCATCATAAATCAAAAATCTTGTCATGGCCCCTTTGAATGAAACTAAATAATTAATTAATCACTCATCCTGATGAAGGTGCATTCCTGATATCACGAGCTTGTACAATTAAGTTGGTGGCAGCTATTGAGAGCGTGACACCGCCCCAAAACCTCGTTTTAACAAAACCCAGCTTGTCGCTTCTGCCGTGTCCTTGCTCACCTATCCGCATGTGCATCACCTATTTGCTCCCCCCAAATTAAGTTTATTCTTATTATAAAGCCCTTTTAATTAACTTATTGAAACCAAAAAAAGATAATTAAATTATTAATTTTATCTAAAAAATATACTCTAAATTTTACTTATATTTAAATAAAAAATTAAATTTGCATTACATATCCTCTCATAGTTAATGAATTTAAATAATGATAATATTAAAAATATATACAATTAATATTTCATTAAATATCTTATATTACTAAAAATATTTATCTCTTTTAAAAGATGCAGGGACTATTGTCAGAATGAGAAGCATTAGTGTTTGTTATGTCAGTTAAAGAACGCTCTTTGTTCTAAGCTAATCCCAATTACCCCCCCCCCCAAGTCCCCCACCCAAAATATCAACATTATCACAAGTATATTATAGGAACAGCAACTATCTCCGAGTTGTGAACATGGTTAATTTCAAATCATGCACAAGCATGAAACCTACAATTTAATTGCCACATGTTACAGCCAAATTGATTTATTTTGTTCATCTTGTGCGTGTATTATGTTTGAGTAAGCCAATTAGTACCCCTTTCTTTAGGTAAAATGCTGATTTTTTCAAAGTATTAAGGTCACGTTTGTTTATTAAAATAGAATGAAATTAAATAGATTAAAAAAATAAAGATAAAAATAAGATGATTAAAGGGGATAAATAAGCACATTTATAAGAGAGAGAGGTAATTTAATTTATGAGATTAAAAATTATTATTCATAAAATTTTTTGAGAGTGTGATAATTCTCACAATAGTATATATTAATGAGTTTTATCATATTTATTATGTAGAGAAGGGTGTTCTAGTTCATTTTTTTTTTTAATCCATTCCATTTCATTATATTGTAATAAGCTGACTTAAAAATAAAAGATACTTCCAATTAAAATTACTCCATACACTAATGTCATGGTGAATTCTTGAAAAAATTAAATACCACTCATATCGGCTGGATTTGATATAATCAGTAATTTATGAAATTATGGTTTATTGATTTTAAATAATATTATTTTTATTTTATCATGTACATTTGATTTCACTATTTTTTAATAAAAACAAATATATACTATATAGAATCAAAAAGTCTAATAATTATAATCAAAAATAAAAATAATCACGGGTTGGCATATTTCTCAATTAACTATCATCTGTTAGAAAAATCACATTTTTTTAGCATAATTAGTCAGTTACCACTCACACAATAAAATGTTGAAACAGAGTTATTCAACTAAAGAAAAACGGAAATATATACTCAGGATTTTTTTTTTTTTTTTGGCCAGCAGAAATAGTAGACATCAATCTTTGGTGACATGCATTAAAATTTGGAGTGCTAATATTACATAGATAAGTAATAGGGAAGGAATGGATCAAAACTCAAGAGGATTTTTTTTTTTTTTTTTTTTTGGCGTGTGTTGTGAGGGCATCAACTTTTCAAGGTATAAACGTTATCTAGTGGGGGAAAAAAAACATCTTTATAACCTTCATTGTGATGAGGGTGGATTTTTCTCCATTAATCTTTTCTTCTAATATTTCTTCACTCTAAATCTAAATTGTTTAAATTAAATTTATACTTTTAAAAATTATTAAATTTAATTTAACGATTTAAATTTACAGTAAGTCCTCATTTGCTCTCCTACATGGAGGACAAAAGTCAATTCCACCGTGAAATGAAATTCATGACTGACCTAAAAAATAAAGAGAAAACTCGATATACACAATTTTAGATTCGGTGAATCATTTGAATATAGTTATTCAATGAATATTTCATATGACACAATAACAACAAATTGAATTAATTGAAAGACATTTAAATATTTTATTATATAATACTCAAAAACATCAAATCTAATTTTTTAAAAAAATAGCATAACTAAATAATGTTTTAATCATGAGTATTGTTTTAAATTTTAAAAGAAAATATGTATAATATTGTTCAAATATTGATAAAATTTAACTGTCATAATTGAGACATTTATTAAATGAATGCAACCAAACTACTCACTAAATCAAAATTTCTGTAAACACTGTTTTTCTAAGCAGACATTCAATCACTGAATAGTGATAAAGTCAATATATAAAATACTAGTAGGTGTGGGTCTTAATCAAAATAACTATAATCTCTTAAACAAGAAGTTTTGAGTTTGAATTCTGCCCTTGAGAGAGTTAAATATGTAAAATATTGTTTAATAGATAATAACACATGACACATAATGAGAAATTTTTAAGTACATTTTCTACACTCATTTCAAGCACTGAGACGTGCCTTGTGAGATCCATTGTTAATCATTACGTTCGTTTTTTCATAATTGACCCCTCGCTTTCTGCCGCATATAAAAAATGTACCTAAAAATTTGTTAAGCACATGCATTATATAATAATCTTATTCTTCTTATGATGGATCATCCCCAGTCATGAGTTTCTTCAGCAGGAAGCTCTCTTGTCGTCTTCAATCCTGTTTCCATTTCCCCTGAAGCAACGTTAGGCTATTCGCAATTCGCACTATGGCATGAAGCATTGCGTGTGCGAATTGGACTCCAACCATCCGTAGTCTAAAGCTTCGGTTTCATACAGGACAATGGAATCCAAGTTCGTCATGAAAGGCTCATCGTCGAAACCAAACACCGCACTGTTCCCAGGCACAATCGGAAAATCTAGGTCACAGTGGAAGCTCTGCGTTTCGTCGATCCAAGAGTTTGTGATGTTACTGCTCTCCTCTTTCCTCGCATCGAGCAACTCTGTCTCTGTAATGCTTGCGGGAATCGGAAATTCGGAGTTTCTGGTCTGTGATTTCTTGCTGGTTTCTTGTTGATCGTTGTTTGAATCGATGGATTTCCTTTTGCCTCGAGGGCATCTCTTGTTCAAATGGGTATTCCAGTAGTTCTTCACTTCGTTGTCGGTTCTACCAGGAATTCTTCCAGCTATCAGCGACCATCTACATGAGATAGGAATTCCAGCGTACAATCAATTAATTAATATATATTAACGATTCATGACTGATTGAGTTTAATATAACTTGTTTTGATAGATTCTATATTTTTGGATTACATGACAAGTCAGTCAAAATGGTTTCATTTTATTGAACACACTAGTTGGGTGAATACGAGCGTTGTAGATGCTATATAACATTAAAAAAAAATGTATAAATCAATGCGCACCGGTTGCCAAGAAGCTTATGCAGTCTGATGATGAGGTCTTCTTCTTCTTCAGACATTCCTCCGCGTTTAATGTCAGGTCTCAAATAGTTCTTCCATCTTAGCCTGCAACTCTTCCCTCCTCTCTTCAGCCCTGCAATTTTAAAAATAATAATAAAAAGAAGAAGAAAAGCAGGAGTGACATGTGAGAGAAACCCTTTTTCTGTTAAACAACACATGATGGCTGCCATTTGGGAATAGGTAGAGGGTTGTGTTGGTGGAGATTTGTTTGAGAGCTATAAATATTTAAAGCAATCAGCACATAATGAGAATTGATAGGGACTGGCCGACACAGACGAAAGTGAACTTACCTGAATTTTTGGAAACTGCTTCCCAGTTTCCCTCACCGTGAGCTTCAATGTAGGTTTTCAGAACCAAGTCTTCCTCTGGCTTCCATAGATTCTTTTTGGGCTGTGGCTTCAGTGCCAGTCCTTTGCTTTCCATGAGGTGACTAATTTTCTGAAGCTGTGAGACAGAAAGTGAATTTCTGAGCGAGGAGTTATATAGGAATGAAATTCATAATGTCCATGCCCTCCTCCGTGCATGAATCATGAAGCGAAAAAGTTAAGGCTTTGAGGGCCCCGTATTTTCTATCAACTTTTGCTTTTTAATAATCATAACATTTACGTAAAGTATATTCATCCAAAAGACTTGCAGAAAAAGAAAAGAAAATCTCCAGTAATGGTGAATTTGGAATGCATGTGAAATCAAGCTTTTTTATTCATGAATTGTTGAACCGTAGAGGGCACCCAATATCCTTCTTCTGGGGTCAGGAATGAGAAAGTGACAGTCATCAGAAATTCTTTCTTCGCTACGTGGGAATGTCTGCCATTATAAGGCAGTGGCACTTTGGAATTATGCACCCTTTGCTTTTGCATGATTTAAGATTCAGTATAATGCTTTGGGTATATTTTGATTGATTCAGGAGCAGCTCAAGTTTCTAACTTTATGATCCTTTTAACTTTAGTGCAAAAGAAAAAATGCTATAAGATTAGTTCAGAATTAAGGGAATTGTGCTGCCGGCTGGACAGCCGCTGTTGCTTCAAGGGAGTTGGAACTGACTGGTTGGGTGTCTACATTACCACTTCCTCTAGCTGACTTGATTCTTAAAGACTCTGTGAGTCATTCAACTTCCTCTATGGACCAGCTGTTTGATGAGGCAGGCGGGGAAGGAATAGGTTGAGCGTGCCTATCAGTCATGTTTTCTTGAGTTTTGGTTCTGTCTTTTTTTGCTGTTTTTTACTGTTATTCTTCATTACTGTACTGTTGACTCTCTCATTTGCCTTGTTAATGATATGAAGTATTTCCATTGGAAAAAAGAAAAGAGCTCCAATCTGGTCATCCACTAAATGCATAGCCTATGCCTTTTGATATCCTTTTCACTGTCATTTGGTTGGAAATGTCATTTGGCTCTCTATTAGTTATTTACAATGGCATAGATAGAACTAATGCTGTCTCAGCGCATACTGAACGAATCCTTTTCCTTTTTTTTTGGGCCATGAACCAATTCTTCAATTATTAAATCTTTGGCATGTTACTAGCATCTTTATTTGGGCATATATCACACGTCAGTGCATCATCTTGTCTTACTTTATCTGTGGAAATCGGGAAGTGGGGCAATCAGCAATGCACTGAGATTGAGGCAAATGTAATTGGGTTGATATCATTGGAACTGAAATGCATGCATCAGCTGTGAGTTGGACCACGAGCTGGCAATTTTGGTGGTCTCTTACCTTATGGTGATAATGCCGGCGTTTTCAATAGTACTTGGGTCATTGGGGTAATAATATGACTCTCCCCTCTTGTTATGACTTGACAGTGTCGTACGCACTTCCTCCCTAGGTCTCTTCAAGTCTTGGTCTTTATCTGATGAACCAATAATTTCTATCTTTATGCCTTTTTGGTTCTCGGTCTTTGCAACTCTCAGGCAGTTCCTTTGTGTGAGGAAACCAATTTCTGTTTACTAGATCATGCTTCTGGAGAATGATTATTGTTTAATGCCAGGAACTAGTGTAAATAAAACGAAGTTTTTAAAGCTAAAATATAAACTCAAGTATTTATATGACATCATCCAATGTTGCAATCATAGTTATTAATAGGGTAGTGACGTTTAAACGATGGGTTTTGAGTTTGAAAATTAGTCTCTCTCTCTCTCTTTTTTAGTACACCCGGTTGTGATGGACCTAAAAAAGTGGTTTGCATTGTTATGAAATGAGGCCTCGTAAATGTACTTATTTGAAGTCAACACACTCATGTATAGCCGACATTTTGGATATTTAGTTCTCAATTCATTCCATAAAACTAATAGCTAGACATTTTGCTTCAAGTACCTAATCGAAAGGTGTTTCTTCTTAGCTCACAACTATAGCCACAACTCTCTAGGCTGGCTACCATTCAACTACCCTTCAAGTTTTCCCTCTCTGGAAAACGGCCAAGTTAGATCAAACATTTTGAAATATTCTTCAATGATAGTTAAAACAGTGATCCATTTCCTTATTTTCACTGCATGTCCATTGTTATTCTCTGTGATCTATTGATATTGGCCTGTCCAATCATTGTTGCAAGGCAAAGATTAATCCACCACCTTTTGTCTCTCTCTGTACAAGGAGAATAATGAGCCTTGAATCGAGGGTGTGAAACTGACAAATCCCTTTGTTTCACATTACTATTTGGCATGTATAGCATTTTTTTTTTCCTTTGGTTGGTAACTGTAGCTGATTCAAGGTCTGTCTGGCTCCTCCTTTCCAAATCTGAAAGAGAAAGACAGAATTTGGATGACTTGAACTGTATTACATGGAAAAAGAACAACCGGTTTTGCCAGATTTGCTGGATCATTATTGTTGATTTGGTTTTTGAGGAGAACCATGAGACGATACTGCACTGTGATATAGACTTGGTTTAATGGTTTCTAAGGGTACTTTTTCCAGTCACTTTTAAGCTGGAATGCATGCATGCATGTTTGGTGGGGGGGCCTGATAAGATTAAGATTCCCCTGGCGGCCTTTCTCATTTTTCATTATTGCACACCTTTGAGTAGAACTACTGAATATTTGTTCATAATTGATTTAATGTTGAGAGAGGTGATGTTCCTAAAAATATAGGTGTATTCTGATATTCCACCTTTTGTTATTCCCCTGCAAATTACATGAAACTTTACCCTAAAAAGTTAAAGTAGTCCCTTCATCCCTCAATCATTCAAACATGAAGCCCCCACCCCTCTGTATATAAAGTGGGTTTATATGTCCCTCTCCTTGGCTTCTTGCACCTCACTTTGAATCAATATGTTAGTCTTTACTGTCTGAAACTCACCTTTTCTTCTTTGTTTTTCCTATTGGAACGTTAGGTGCCCTGCTTGTTACAAAAAGCCAGCCATTTTTGTGTCGGCAAAAACAGTCTATTATTAAATTGAGTGGTCTAGGAATATTGAACTTCGAATCATGTGTAGATATTTTTTAAAACTTTTTAAATTTAATATTTGAATTTTTTTACTTTTTAAATTTGAGTAAGCCATTAGTTATATCGTCAAGAGGATTATAAATATATGACATGAGTTCTAGTTGTTTCTAAATTATTCGAAATTTAAGATATCATTTGCCTAACAATATCAGTCATTTATATAAATTTTAAAATTTAAGGAATTTAAATGTCAAATTTTCTTCTTTGATGTGTATTTTCACTGGGAAAGTAATTTTGAATTTTTATCATGTGACTTTTTCGAAAGTGTCATTTGTACAACTAGGCTCAACCTTGAATTCTGAAGTACTATGTTGGTGAAAATGTATTCTTGAACTATGCTTTGGGCTAGACACTAACAATTATGAACGAGATCGAGGCCATGAAGAATTGAACTCGTTTTGGGCTGTGATTCCAACCCAACTTCAGTTACCATAAATTTTCAAGTCATCAAAAACCAATATTACAAACGCAAATCTAAGCCACCTGGGGTTGAGCCGAATTAACTCAGATTTCTATTAATAAAAATATAATTGTGTTCTTGTTTGTTTTGACTTGGATATAAGATCAAATTAATCAAAATATTTGACTTAGAAGTTTGTTCCGATTTTTTTTTTGTTTTGTTTTTCTGCGCAGGAACCCAGTCACAACAAATTAGCTGAGCCGGTCAAGTTTTTGCACAGCCTTAACGAGAACTGTCTGAATCTTTCACTAAGCAATGATAACTTTTACAATGTTTGGTGGTCTTTTTTTTTTTTAACATATCTTTTGGTCGCTGTACTTTAGTCATATTTTATTATAAATTTTTGTACTTCTTTCAATATTTTGAGTCCCTACATTTTTATTTTTTAGTGTTCTAATTTCTTAAATGAACAAAAAGAATAAAATATAAGGACATTGGATGAATATAAGACACCAAAAAAATGAAAATATGGGGATCCATAACATCAAAAAAAAGTACAAGGATCAATAACAAAATAGCAAAATGTAAAGACAAAAGGTTTATTTTTTTTTTTTTTTTTGGTTGGCCAACATTTTTCTTTTAGGGCTGTTGTAGTTGTGGTAGAGTAGTATATAATATGGATCCTTCATATTATTCATATTCCAAGCCAATTCTGAGTGACCACCTCAGCTATCTCGGTCTTGGCGAAAAGAAAAATAATTATTCTAGCTTGCTGATTAAATTTTGTTTTTGAAATAAATTTGATTTACTACTGACAAATATTACAGTTAATATACTTTTATAACAAAACAAAAATTATACTTGTATGTTCATGCTGAAACCAAATTCATGAAATGCAAAGTAATGCATGTATAAAGGTTAGGCATAACCTTGACCTGGTGGTCTAACCAAGCCAACTTCAGAACCAACATTGCCCTTTTTATAGAGAAACCGAACCATTTGTTAAAAATTAATGATTTGGCCAAAAACTACACAAAAAAACTTTTGATTGAATACTTATATATGTACGTCACTTTCCATCCCCAACTCTTCCGTGTCTGCAAATGAAAGTTGCTTGGCGAAGAAATTGGCAATCAGTGGGGACCCACGACCCACGACCCAACCAATCATCAATAAATAATACTTTCAAAAGCAATTGAAAATGGGGCAAAATGCATTGAGTGCTTCCTATCAGTGTTTGTTATGCGTTGATAATTCTCTCCATTTGACCTAAAAACAGAGACAGCCAACACAACCACAAAACACAGGGAGGACTCTGAGATGAACCAACACTGTTGTGATTAACACGGAAGCTTTGATGGCGACTCGCCTACAAATCTCAACCACCCAAAAGGAAGGGAGCTTATATACATAGAAACACTTAGTATGAGTTCGAAGACAAGGTGGTCCTGTGCCCTGTGAAGTTGGACCATTGGGACACGTGGGCTTCCAAGTCGGTGTTAACTGGGTCTCTCGTGTCATGCATACCACTGGACGAAGAAGAATTTGGGGGGGGGGGGGGGGCGAGAGAGAGAGAGAGAGAGAGAGGGCA